GAAAACCCCCATGGATCGCCACCAAAAACGTCAGAATCGGTTGATGCGTTTGTGAAATATCGTTGTCGAAAAAAATCGAAAAAAGTGTTTTTTTGTAATAACTTCGAAATTCATGGCTCGATCGATTTAAACTTGAAAATTTTTCGTGGAGCTTCAGAAACTGCGTCGATTGCCGCCAACCGCGTGAAAATCGGTTCATTCATTCAAAAGTTATTGCCGTTTGAAAATTCAAAAAATTGTGTCTTTAAACTGCTATTAGAGTTTTGAGCTCGGAGAGCTAAAAATGACACAAAAATCATATTTTTGGGCTCGAGGAGCTCAAAAACATAATGTGTAATTTTGAACGCTTAAGTAAAAAATGAGCGGGAAGTTGTAGGGATGGTCTTTAGGGTCAACTGTCGTCCTAATTTTCTTATATCCGTTTTTCTGCCATGGCAGAACCGCATTATTTATATTTGTTAAAAATGTGGAACGCTTCACGATTTTGCGTGTCATCGTGAAGCGTTCCACATTTTTTTAACAAATATAAATAATGCTGTGATGCGGGAAAGAATAGGAGTTACGGATAATTTATTACGTGAAGCGTTCCAACATTTACGTAACAGGATAATTGGTAGGAAAGGATTGAGAAAGGATTGTGGAGAGGATCATCTTAATGTGAGTGTATAAAATATGCGAGAATAAATTATTAGATAGCTCGGACTGGGATTCGAACCCAGAACCCAGAACCCAGAAGTCAGATTATCAAAAACTCTTTGATAATCTGACTTTTGGAGAGGGTGCATCATTTTGTTCAAAACGTTCCAACGGAATTTTTTCTGAAAAATTAAATAAATATTACAAAAAATTAGATACCATAATGATTGGTTAATTTAAACTGTGTTCTTGAATTATAAATGGCAACGTTAACCATGCTAATGATAACGATGAATTTTTATATTATTTAATATTTTATATCGATAAAAATGAAAATTTGAATTTTTTAAATTTTTTTATAATTAATTTCATAAAATTATAAAAAAACTGACGGGCAATGTGTACGAAATTTACATATCTCAAACTACTAATTGTATGTCTATCTTCAATCTAATCCATTGAAGCTTCACTATTAAAATTTTTCTAAATTTAAAAAAGTGTTCTAATAAAAAAAAAATATTTCAAAAAACTAGCAACAATAAATTAACTAAGAACTTTGAATAATGATTAAATCTTTTTAAATTATATTATAAATAATTATTTAATCAATAAATCAACTATTACGCAGTTGTATTACCTTGGAAAATGATCTTTTCTTAATTATTTTTTATTCGCAATCAACGTATTAAGTATGGCACTTTGCTTTTGATAAATATATTTTGCTCAAAATGCAGTGCAACAGAATTGCATCAAAAATGAATAAAAAACGTGTTAAAAAGTGGATTATAAACGATGGCGTCTGCAAATATATATTAGAAAAAGCGTCGGTACGAACATAAAGACGAATGGATTGGAACTAATGACTCACATTATTTGATTTTAGGTTTAGAGTATACAGGTATTAGTACGAATAATAAACAAAGTTATCGTTTTCTTCAGGAGTTATTTTTCTAATTGTTTTTCGTCATTGGACAATTCTCGCGGTTATTTTTAAATAGATTTTTTCGTTTAATTATTCAAAAATTTACCGAAAAAATTTTTTCAATTAAAATTTTATTTAACGATGAATGATTTATCTATATTGATAGGTATGAAATTGTATGTGATTAAGTACAAATTCATGAATCAATAAAATAGACAATATCTGTGAACAACTTGAATAAAAATTTTTGTTTCACATTAAAAAAAGACATAATAATCAAAATAAGAAGTATCCTTATACAAGTATAGATTAAAAAATGTAGTAAATATCGATAATAATAACTCTACAGAATTTTTGTGATATCACATGTCTTGAATATTTCCTCATTTATTTGTTTTTCGTTTTTAATATTCATTTAATTTGTAGATTTTCATTTTTCGCAGTTTTTATTGGGTAATATCTAATTTGACTCAATCTAGTAGCATAGATGATGTTTCGATAAAATTATAAATTTATATTAATTTAAAATTTAATTATAGAAAATGCCAATTATTTCAGAATAATAAAAAATTAAATAATTTTTCATAAAACAATTGAAATTCATCTTAACGCTAAATTCAAATTTTAAATTTGCATTCTGTTTAATAATTATTAAAATTGAAATAAATTTCTCAATAATAAATAATTGAGATTTATTAATTGAAATAATTAGTAAAGCTGAATAAATCAAAATCAAATCATTAATCAAAATTTTGATCTTACTTTTTTTCAGAAACATCCTGCCATCACCGGATAGTGCTCCCGATGGAAGGGAACCCGTGGGCGTTAGTTCTTTCAACTCCAAGGCAGTCTGGCTCTCTTCTCTGAAAAATCTTATTATTGTTACTATATTTTTTAAAAAAACCATTCGTAAAAATAAATAATTTACCTGAGGACGGGAAATACTCGTGTCATTTTTGCAACCGCCCTGATCTTCTTTCTGATAACTTTCTTGCGTAAATTTGGGGCCACGCCAAAACAAAAAAAAATAATCAGAAAGAAAGAAAAAGTTATTAGCTTAAATAAATTTAGTAAGTATTTTTAAAAAATTTTATTTCATGATTGAGTCTTTATTTTTCTGATTTTTTTTCAATAATTTAATTTTTTTTTGGTAATTATTCACAAGTGGGGTCAAACCTATTTTTGGCCATATCTAGGTAAAAAATTTACATTTTTTAATTTTAATTTTTTTTATTCTACTTGGTTTTACGGCACATTTATGATAAAAAATATTGTGAAAGAAAAAAATTAAGATTTCGATAGCTTTTTGGCCTTCAAAAGTTGGAAAAAGTTTTGGATCTTATGTTTTTGGATAAAATTTCTGTTTTATTTTTTTTTGACATATTTTTTTTTGAAAACTTCATAAAAAAAACGAGCAAATTAAAAAAAAAAAAAATTGAATATCACAATTTTTTAAAAAATTTATAAATTCTTTTGAAAATTTGTAATATTTGTTAAAATTGTGGTAATCAACTTTTTTTTTAAATTGTTCATTTTTTTTATGTATTTTTCAAAAAAAAAAAAAAAATTTTCAAAAAGAAATTTTGTTCAAAAAAATGAAAATGAAAATGGTAGACCCCACTTGTAAATAATTACCTTTTTTTTTTCAAAAACAAAAACAACAACATGTATCAGTAAGGCAAGATGTGTTTTACCTTTTTCAAGGGAGGCGTCTCCGTCACTTATGAGCTCGTCATCTGTACAAATGTTCAATACTCTGACTGGAATATCAGTAACTGCAAAAAGTAAAATCATATTATATTATTTAATATAATAATTTGCTTGCTCTATACCTAAATAAACCCGATAGTGTGGAAAATGTAATTTATAGAATTAAAAAAAAAAAAAAAAAAAAAACAGTTGAGCACATCTGGAACCAATAGTAATATATATTCTTTATTTAATGACCACATTTCGTAACTGGAATTATATAGGTCGTATATGCTCCAAATTTGGTAGCTATCTTTTATATGTGATGTAGAAATAATTCATGAACGAATTTTACCCCGAATTTTAATGACCACATTTCGTAACTGGAATTATATAGGTCGTATATGCTCCAAATTTGGTAGCTATCTTTTATATGTGATGTAGAAATAATTCATGAACGAATCCCACCCCGAAAAAGATTGCGGGGGCGTTAAAAATAAAAAAATTTCTGATTTTAAACTATAGCTTTGTAGGCTCCAAATTGGATAGGAATTTTCTGTGAGAGATGTAAAAATAATCTACGAACGAATTTTACAATAGCTCATCTTCCAGGGGTTTGCGGAGGTGGGTGTTAACTATTAAAATGTTTAATTTCCGAGCTATAGCTCCTGTTGTCGTCAAATTTGGTAGGAGTTTTCTCTTTTCTATTTGTGATACAGAAATGATCTAAGAGCGGATTTAACGACGAACCACCCCTAATAAGGATCGCGGAGGTGGATTAACAATAAAAAATCTTAATTTCTAAAATATAGCTTCTAAAAGCTGTAAATTTCGTAGGAATCCTTTATTTTTCACGAGATCATCTCAAAACGGATTTCAAAAAATTGTACTTCCGATTTTCAAACAATCGTTTCTATGGACTCGAAGTTTTGTTGGAACCTTCTATTTATAATGTAGAAATCATCTCGAATAGGATCTTACGAAATTCCTCCCTAACATAGGAGTGCAGGAGCGATAATTGTCAAAAAATTCATATTCTTCAAAGACAGTTCCTACAGATATAAAATTTGATAGAATCAAGAGAAACAAGAAATTACAGGGATGCCCTTCAAGGTCAACCGATTAAAAATTTTTTTTTTCATGTCAATTATTATTCATTTTTGGAAGATAGCTACGGAAATATTATAGTGATTGCACATTGAAAGTTACAATGAATATTAGCTAGAATAATCACATAGATAGAAGGTACAGGCCAATCCGATGGAATTTAAAATCTGTGCAAGTCAAAACAATACTTTAATTAAATTTCAAATCTAAATTTAAAAATACAATTCTATAAAGTGCCCAGCGGAGCGGGCGGGTAACAGCTAGTGTTATAATATTTATTAGATAATAAAATTACCTGTAGAAAAACGAACAACTCCGAACGCTATTATCTGTAAAGTCTTCCGAATGCTTTTCATTACAAAAGTTTTCGAGTGGATCTGACCAAAGTAAGTCACACATCGGACCATAAGCTGGTGGCTCTCTAAATCTGTCTAACTGCAAAAAGAAATAAATAAAATTTATATAAGTCATAAATATTACAAATAATTATTAATAATTTATACAATGAATAACATGTCAAACACATAAGACTGATTAATATTACAACGTAGTCACAATATTTCAGTGTAACTTTACGGATCTAATATTAACTAAAATATTATCTCAAGCAAAAAGATGATTGAAACGGAGTTATCCTTGAATTTGTTAGAAATTCCATACGTAAAAGAAGTAAGTTAGCCAGGAAACTAAATTTTCACATTGCACAAAAAATTATTAGACTTACTTCTTTCTATAATTGAATGATTTGTTTGTCCCATCACTATTGATTCTACCGTTATATATTTATTAAATCTTTATTTGCAAAACTATCTTTTTATTTGTATTACGCCGAAGTTGTTTTAACTTTTATAAAAATAAATTCAGTGATTAAACGGTTCTATTATTACGTATTATTGAGCGTGTAACAAAGTTAAAGAACAAATGAAATTAAATGTTGCTAAATAGTTATATTGAACAATAAATCATAAATGAGTTACGCCGAAAGTGTAATACTTGGTTTCATTCTTTCAGTGTGTCATTAAGCAAATTCAAAGTTTAATTAAAATGAAATGGAGCTGAGGATTGCAATAATTAACGGCCCACCATGCATCAATACATGATATTATACTACAAAAAGTTCTCTCTTATGCTCTAAACTGCTACATCTTTATTCTATTTATATAAATATTTATATAACACATCGATACTGCGACATTAATTGTTTATCATTACTTTTCTTTTTTGATTTACAGTATGCAAAATTATTCTAAATATTTAAAATTATGTATACGTCCGAATCACAGAAAAAAATGTATTTTTTTATGGTCCTGAGGAAGTTAAGGCTCCAGGATCGAATAAAATCTGGTTATCTATCTATCTATGCACATGAATATTTCTTCACATACTTTTTCTAGAGCCAAGTCGATTAGTATTTCTTTTCAAATAATCTCTATATAAATTTGTCACTCATGAATTGAACAATACTATTTTCGATAAATTATTGCTTGATGCTAATTTTATTTTATATATTTCAAATCAATTGTTTGAATTTTATTAACATTCAAATTTTTTTGTTTAATTAAGAGAATTAAAAAAAAATTTGAATGAAATAAATCTTGTGAAAAAAATTAACAATAAAAATATAAAAAATCGTTCAGGAAACCTCGAGACACCGTAATTAACTTAAGTAATGTAATTAAATTCGTAAAAATTATTTCTTTATCACTATCTATCATCCTAGTCGTAGAGTTGTTTTTTTTATGACTGATTGAAATGTGAATTTTTTACTTTTACAGCAAACGTTGAGTATTATATTGAAAAAAGCTAAATGCTTAGTAAGCAGAATGGAATTTAATTAATTTTTTGGTATATTAATGTGTATATTAAAGCGTTACATACCTTTTGAATGTCTTCTAAGACCAGGATTTGTGATGATAGACTGTTGTGAACGCACAGAAACTGATTATTTACCAGGGCTGCTATAATAGCCTGAAACAATAAAATAAGTTAGTTTGTTGTGAAATTTTTAACATATAAATAACTAATAAAGCGGAAGAATAAATAGTAATTAAGAAAATTCAGAAATAATTGAATTTTAGATTAATAAAAAATTATGTTGGAATCTTATTATTTAAGCTGGTTCATATTTAACATTAATGATGGATTTAATACTCCAAATAGTCAATACTCAAGAGTTGTACAGGCAAAAAATTAAAGTTTAATAAAAAATTGTATTTTGAATCAACTTTCAAACATAGAACGAAAATAATTTCAATAGAAGTATTATACATTAATAAGTAATACTATTGATGTGAGTATAGAGTGAATAGAGTAGAAAAATTATTAACAATCACCGTTAAAAAAAACTGTTTAAGAACTATGTAATTATATATATTATAAAAATAGATGGGAAGTCAATAATTGTATCTCCTTTTATTCAAAAGTGAAAGTTTTATTAAAAAAAAATTACCAGCGGCTTTAGAAAAATTTTGTAGCAAATAAGAAAAAAATTTGTGAATAGTTTCTTTTATTTAACTTCATAGATCCGAAATTCTCGACATAAATCAGATAAGCCCGAACTGGGAATGAAAATGCAGCCAAGTATAATAGAAAAGCTTGAATATCTCAACTTATTAAAAATATTCCTAATATTTAAACATGCAAACTTACATTCTTGCTTAAATGTGAAAAATTCAGTGAGATGTCTAGTCGGCACTTATGATTGCCACAAAGTGGGAACAGTTTGGTTGGATAGCACAACTTCAGTGCCCACAGATACAATACGCACTAAAATAAAATAATTAAATTAAATAAAAATCAATATAATGGAATATGATATTGAGACATGATTTTTTTTAAACTTTTTTTCTAAGTTATGATCCCTACTTTGACGAAGCGTAAAAAATTTTGGAGCAACAAAGTTTGTAGTTAGTAGTAGTCTGAGCTGATGATAAGAGGAAAATTTTTTCACAAAAAGGCATACAAGAATTGAAAAAATCATTTTAAACTTTTAACTTTCAGGTAACATTATTTACAAATTTCCATTTATTCCATTTATTTATTATTTACAAAGGTATTGTTGCCAAGAGTTAATTTATGTTTAAATTTGCTTCGTCATCGAGCTAGTTCCAGCGATACTTAATTTCTATACTAGCCAAGAAACTTTTATCTATCAACCCTACGTATTTTCTACCTGGCATTTAACAGGAAAGCGGAGAGGAAAGTATTAAGTAATTACAAAATAATACGAAGAATTGAACGACCAGGTAACAAGACCTTCAGTTCTGTCTAATAACATAACAAAGCTACTTTTAATCAATGTACCAGCTAGAAATGAATATAAACATTAAATTAAATTGAGAATTTTAAACAATAAAAATATATTTACCTGGAACTTGTCGCTCATCTCTGATTTTTTGTCTCAATATTCGCCATTTTAATCGAGACCTGCAGAGTCATACATTTCTCCCTCGGATTACAATTACACATAGCACCGAATACCTCGAAGCTACATAAGTAAGAAGAGAGAAGAGTAGCAACAGTTTACTTTCAATACTGATAAATATAGCCGCCATATGTTCATCAGTTCATTCTAGAGTGTGGTGAGGATTCGACGATCGGCCGCGCGAGAGTGTACATGGCTTACGGAAATAATTACGTTAAAAAAGTGAAATAATACAACTTATCTCTTGTAAACCTTTACAATTACTAGTGACAAAAAATATAACAGCTCTAAAACTCAACAACAGTTTAAATTCAACAGGGAAATTGAAACAGGCAACTTATATCGAAATAACCTAAAAATCATATGGCAGAGCAGCGTCTGCTCACGCCAACGCTATCCTCCCGCCAAAACCAAGCACAACAAACTCTTTCCAAAATGAACCCGATAACCATTCCTGCAGGAACTTCAAACAACAACCTTAAAAATCTCCGTCTTAACCTCAAACCCAAAACACACCAAACCAGCAAAACAATTCCAACATCCATCAACAAAAATTCTAAGACAAGTCCTAAAAACACTCCTCAGCAAAGTAATGCTACATCAGAAGATACCCGAAAAAGGCCACACAAGCCCGACAGCTTAGAAAACATCAATTCCATTCAGTCAAAGAAAGTAAACACTGAGCAAGGCACAGCTAATCAAGAGGCTGACAACAGCATGCAAATCAGTGATGGAGAGAACGTTGAACAGGAATCGATGCCGGAAGAACTACTCAGATACAACAGTGACGATCTAGGTCCCTATCAGATTATAGTTCAACCCAACAATGAACAAACTGGAACCAGAATGCACCCCTACCACCTGAGCAAGGTAGTTCTCGGCATTCTCACTGAACAAAAAATCCAGTCCAGCATAGTAGAAACAAAGATCGTAGGTTAGGGTCTCTCAATAACCCTCAAGGACAGCGAAACAGCGAAACAACTCACTAATAAATCACCCAAGCTTTGGTTCAAAGCGGCTCACGGCTTACGTCCCGACCTTCCGGAAATATACTACTGGAGTAATCTATGGGGTCCCTAAAGAACTATCTGTAGAAGAAATTTATGAAGCTATCGAAATACCAGGCCAAGTTACCATCAACAGCATTAGAAGATGCAACAAAGCCATCCACAGTGGAGAAGGCAGAACCTTCGAACCAGCTAAAGCAGCCACCATCACCTTCAATGGGCAAACTAGACCCAAGTATGTATACCTCTACAAAATCAAAACTGAAGTGCAACCATACGTGCTTCCTGTCAAGAGATGCATGAACTGTCTGAGATTTGGACACAACCAAAAAAATTGCAGAAGCCCCACAACATGCAAACACTGCGGCAAAGGTGATCACAAAGTGGACGATCTCTGCCCTCGAGCTGACCAATCCCCCTATTGTGTCAACTGTCGGCAGAGTCACGAGTCAATGTCAGACCAGTGCCCATGCCTACAGATGGAAAGAGAAATACACAAGCAAGCAGCCAAGCACAACATCTCTTTTAACGACGCTCGCCAGCAACTCACTCAACATCAGGACTCCACTCCACCATCCTTACCGACAGCCTCTCCGCTAAACCACCACGAATTTCCAGAATTAAGATCAACAAAAAAGAACTCCGTGAACCCTTGGAAGCAACAACAGCTCCAACTACAAATACCGGACACACATTTAACACCAGCAAAAGATAAATGTCAGTGCAAATGCGACGAAACATACGCCAAAATAATAGACTATCAACAACAGCAAATCGAAGCTCTCCGAACCCAGAGAGAACACTTCGCAACCAGCATGCAAAGTCTCCTTACACAAGTAAGTGGCATCATGGTTAAACTGACCCCGTTCGTTACGAATACTCAAGACCAAAATATCATAAAGGAATTTACCCAAACAACGCAAAACCTCTCTTGGGTCATCATTGACGCTACCCAACAACTCCAGCCAATTTCTCTCGAACAGCAGCTTCCCCCAGCAGCAATCCAAAACTCACAACTTTTCAACACAGGACTATCACAACCTCCATCTCCACCACCACCACCACTAGAATGAATAGACACAATAATTATATATTATAATGGGATTTCGCCTGACCCGGGGATTTACCAAGCCAGGCTCACCGTTTATTTATTATTTGGCTTACTTAAAAAAAAAATTTATCATTAATAAAAGGGCGCCAGGAGAATGATCTCCAACTAATTACTGCTTCGACTTCGGCTAGCTATTACCTCTTCTTCAGGGCGGCGGGCCATGCTGAAATACTCGTCATTAAAAAAAAATGGATAGCAAAATAAACGAAAGGCTTAAAATTACTTGAAATAAATTCGGAAGAATTAAAAAAAAATAACAATTTATTCAACAAAATATATGTCGGCGGTCGATATTAATTTTTAACAAAAATTATTAAACGTCGTAACTTAAATTTGCACTCAATTTTAACAAAATTAAATTAATAAAAGTCGTTATCTCATTCAATTCTTACACTCACAGTCATATATCAGCAATCACACTATGTAATAACAGTATCACAAAAAAAAATAATCGTAAAGCGTTGAATCCTCGCGTATTATTTCGTTACTCAAAATATTTTACAAAATTCCAACGTGGACTCTCAACGCTGGATTCAACACTGAACAAGAACGTCGGCTTACCAAGAAATTGAGCGTCGTCCTCATCGTAGCAGCTTGGAAAGCTTCGTGCGGTCGACTCAAATAAATAATAAATTTAAAAATCAATACTTTACAACAAGTTACAAATTAACTTCAAATAAGCAAAATCGCGACAATACTTCGAAATTAAATTTACGTTGCGGAGCGCGCAAAAGCGCGTCCGTGTACGTCGACAGTCCAGCCTCGAATCGTCTTCTTCATGGAGAAGTACCCACTTCTTCCTTCATTGAAGTTGGCGGCGCTAGTCTTCATTTCCATTGGAATTGATCCCCATCGATAGTTGATCTAGGTCCGTATAACAGGCAAC